ATAGCCTCTAGAGAGAGCTCCCGCTACGCTATTTCTATTTTTCCGCTATGTCATTTATAACCACTATATTATGCTTTAACGTCGCTAAATTGATTAGCTGTGACTTTAAAATAGTGCTGCTATTTCAACTTTAGCTTTTAGAGTGACAATCTACTTATTATATATTTATCTTTTGCTGTTAAGTTGATCTTTTAGAAAATTGAATACTTGAGTCTCACAAATTGTGCTATAATGCCATATTAAATAATATTCCCTAGACTTCTAAAGACTTGAAAACATATTTGTGTTCGGTAATTTTCACGATTCTTGTGTTTTTATGAAATAATTACTTGATTTTTTATGTTTTTCTTAAAAACCGCTATCTGTCATAGCTTCGCTATAGCTGCGCAATAGCTTTATAGCTTTTGGAAAAAAGATGCCGCTATTTGCAATAGCCCGCTATTTTAAACCTTGGTCTTCATCACCCATATACTCTTGCACTTGTCGATGTCCCCAAATGTCAGCCACCGAGACTGGTCACCCGGCCTCCTAGTCCCTCGGTCTAAGCCTCACATCCGTCCTTCACCGCTCCCAGTCCATCGGCATGGCAAGTCTCTACTTGACCTTCACCTCACCGTTGACCACCGCCTCCGAGCTCCACACCTGCGCACCACAAGCCAAGAGACATGTTGCACAACCTAACTCACGCCATGGTTAGTTCACCGACTCAACTCAAAATGCAAGTCACGTTGACAATCACACATCACAACCGAACCACAAGGGCACATATCAACCTTGTGTCCACAGGCTGTCGTTTGTCGGATCCCACTCAATACCTTACAGCCGCATGTGGTTTAGAGCTTGTCAGAGTCGGTCTTTGGTGGTGGCACATGTCAGGAAGTGGTGTGTCAGTGTTTCGAGTAAACACCAATGAGTAAATTTGTATTATTGCGCGTCTGGCTCGAATGGTGTGCTAAGAGGACACGAGGTTTATACTGGTTCGGGCAGAATGTCCCTACGTCCAGTTCGTTGCTCCTAAAAAGTTCGTAGTAGGGGTTACAAACGGGCAAGAGAGGGACAGGTCCCAAGTCTCTGATGGAAAGAACGAATGGATGCCAAGAGCTCAGTGGCTGCTCGGCTATGTGTTCGAGGTTCGATACTAGTGATTCTGATATGATGCGGTGCAATGCGATGCGAGTTCGATGTGATCTCGTCTGATCTGATCCGATGGCCCTCTAAGGGATGCCCTGCTTTCCCTTTTATAGGTCAAGGGAAAGCACGGGTTACAATGGAAGAAAAGAGAAGAACGAGAGGGAGAGGAAGTCCTTTAGGGTCACCGAGCCTTTCCTTTCCTTTGTGCGGGCTCCGCTGACATGGCTGATGGTGACAGGGATAGCTCCACGCCGGGCGCCTGTCCATCTGATGATGCCATGCCCTGGTGTTGTCAGCAGGTCGTGACATCCCATCCCGCCCCGATGGGCAGCGTGGCGAACCAGCGTGCTAATCAGTGGTCGAACAGGGAGTAGACAGCATAGTGACCACGCGTCCGTCACTGTGGGCGATGTGAGTCCCCTGGAATGACATGTCGCGGGGACGGGTCGTGTTGAGACGTTACCGCTCCCTGCACGATGCCAGAAGTTTGACCTTGGGTTGTACTTTTTGGCCCGTAGTGGTTGGCGGCGGCGTGAGCTTCCGTTAGGAGCCGTGTCCGAGGGATCGGGTGAGGTAGAGCCCGCCCTAAGACGTCGGGCGAGGCAGAGACTGCCCTCGGGGGTCGGGCAAGGCGGAGCCCACCCTTACACGGCCGGACGAGGCCGAGCCCGCGGCCTCGGTGTCGTGTGAGGCGGAGCCAACCCTCAGACGTCGGGCGAGGCAGAGCCCACCCTCGGGAGTCGGGCGAGGCGGAGCCCTCCCTTAGAGGTCGAGCGAGGTCGAGCCCGCGGCCTCGGTGCCGGGAGAGACGGAGCCAGCCCTTAAACGTCGGGTGAGGCGGAGCCCGCCCTCAGACGTCGGGCGAGGCGGAGCCCGCTCTTAGAGGTCGGGAGAGGCGGAGCCCGTGGCCTCGGTGTCGGTTGGAGCTATAGTCGCAACCTTGACTGCCTAGATGGATTAACATATAATGACCATTAGCCTCTCCTCTTCGGGTACCCTAGTATTGGTCCCCGACATGGTGCTTGCACTCGCTCCGGATGTAGGCAATGCCGATAGCTGTACCATGTCGTTTTGTTGTTTCTATTAAGTGTTGTAATTCTTCTCTCTCCTACTTATCATGTACTTCTCTGACCTTCAAGGGTCGCCCCTTTATTAGGTGCTCTGCACCCTTCATTCTCGGCCTCGCCGGTACATATCAGTGGAAAATTGTTCAGGTGGGGATTTTGTCTTGAAAAAATTATAGCAAAAGGTAGCGGTCAAAATAATTTCTTGAAGACAGATGTTGATGTTCAAAACGACTTGTTTTAGGTAGGAAATTGTTTGGAGAAATTTATAATGGCTGAGCTCGAGTATTTAGCTCGCTCATGGAATTTATGTTCCGTCTCTATCAACTCGTGTGTGGTGGATAGGAATAGACTGGGCTGCACTTTAGTGATGCCATGAAATTAATCTGTATTCCTTCTTCTAGAAGAGCAAGTCCACATTTGGACGGTGGGACATGTTCGCTAGGACCATGCATGCATTCATAGCGGGTGAATCAATTCCAATAGTATAAGGCGATGTGGATATAAAACGACCCTAGATCGAATCAATTCCAACTGGCACGAGGACCCTAGCAAATACTGGGGTGAGTACGTATCAAACGAACCATCCAAGGCCATCTGTGGGTTTTGCTCACTGGCTCGTCTCCAAGTAGACCAGGCCTGAAAACTCATCACAACATATATCCTCAACCTCAATCCCTTTGTTTATTTCCCCCTGAGCAAAGCAGAAGCGTCACGGCGCGTACGTTGGCGTATTCGATCGATCGAGCAATATATAGCAGGATGAGGGTGCTGAGGGACTGTCAGAGTTGCGTCCGCACCGCGCAGAGCTACACTCCCACTGATCAACGCAGGTATGCATACAAACATGCACACGGAGTTTCGTTGATTAATTAACCATTAGCCAAAAGGCCGGGTCGGTAGGTCTCGTTCGTTTAGCTACTAGGAACTGTTCCAGCTGATCAATGGTAATACAAATAAGCTTATCATTCCAGCTGGAATCGTTTCAGGAACCGTTCCACAGTAAAGGACGAATGAACGAGCCATTTTTTATTCGGCCTTTTGCTCATTCACCAACCGAATTATACTTTCTAACTAAGAACAATGGCTTGGCTTTTACAGTCGTTCACATTCTAATTTTGCCTTAGTTAATCGAGCCAAATTTTCCTATCAACACTTGCTACTAGCTAAGGCGTGGTTTTGTACCATACGCAACCTCTTGCTTTTTGTAACACATGCACAAACTCTTGAAAGCATACGTTCATATGGGTATAATTACTGATGCATCCATATGCCAAGCAGGCTTTGCTACCAGCTCCAAAATTAAATGCACAAACGAGACTGCACAGGAAAAAAACAACTTTCTCCTCTGCAGCCCTGCCCTGCTACGTGCTACGCCACCTCTCCCCCATACGAGCAAAAAAAAAAAAAAAAAAAAAAAAAAAAGACCAAGCAAAAACAAATCACCAAATCGAACAATAATTCTACTAAGAAAATTTTAAACGCTCAAATCTTCTAACTCGATTTTAAGAAACTTCAACTCAATTTGGAAAAACTTTTGACTTGGTTCAGAGACGCCTTCATCTCAATTTGGAGAGATTACTTTCAACTCAATTTGGAGAAACTACCAAATTGGTTGAACAAAAACTTTCTGATCAATTCGGAGAAACTTTCAAACCAATTGGGGAAATCTGCTTGTAGCCACTGTCACACGAGCCACACTGCGCCATTAATTTGGTGCAAAAACCAATAGAATTTCATCGTTCACAATGAAATTCACTTTATTCGCGCTCTCACAAATTCCTCCAGATTCCTCCAAATTCCTCCCAGCGAATAGGGCCTATGGGCTGCCAGTGTGCCAGCAAAACCCATCTTCCAGCTTGTCGGCGTTGCCACCTGTCAATCTGATCCTCAGCAAACTCAACGACGCTCAATGCCTCACATTAATCCCTTAGGGTAGCTCCGACAATTAGCTCTAACCATTGTGGGTGCCCTAAGGGCCTATTTGTCTGAATGGAGCTGAACTGAAATTGAATTCTTAGGGCGGCCTGTTCGGCTGCACATTGTAATTGGAAATTGTAGATCCAGTAAATTCCAGCCGAGCCAGTCGATGCCTATCTCAACATTGCTGGCCCACCTATCTCGGCATCTCTTGCGTTGCTGCTTGTCTCACACCCACCGGACGCAGCACCGCCCTGCTGCCGGCACGATGCCACCGTGTTTCACGGCACCCGTCCACGGCGGCACCAGCGCCTAGGCCCCCGCCGCTGTGGACAGATGAGTGGCACCCTCGGTTGGGCCTCCCTCTTCATCCTGTACACGCACACCATCAAGCAGTACTCAGCTCAGCTGTCACTCACCACCCTACAATTTCATCTTTGAAGCGTCTTTCTTTAGCATAATATCTTTCCATTCTACTTTATTATTATGCCCTACAATATAAACTGTTGCAAAGTGAAATAACTGAATCACTGACACTACACCACAACACTAAATTACCATCTGACATGGGTCGCTAAAAGTTGATATTTACCGTTAAACAGTCGGTCGCTAAAGGTTTGCCTCAGACCCTCTGTTGGTAATTCTATAAATTTCGATGGCTTGTCCGTTGCTATATCTATTTCAGTTTAGCGTTGAATGGTCAGTCGTTGTATCCTACTAATCGCGTCGAACTGTTGGTCGATAAATAACTTGGCGTGCTCTGACTAGCCCACTGCCACGAAATTTTGGCCCAAAATTGCATCCAAACCCTAAACATCCCTCCCTGCGTACCCACGGCCACGGACGCACCAGACACCCCCACCCACACGCCGCCGCCACCATATCCTACCCCAATGCTGCCGCTAGCGCTCGCCCCCTCCCAGCGCCGGCCGCCGCGCCGGCCTTCTCCGCCACCCCGGCCCGGCCACCCCTGCTCCCGTCGCCCCTCCCGCCCACAGTAGCACTCCCATTGCCGACGCGCCAACTGTCGCTCCAATCACGCCCATGCCCTAGGTGACCGCCATGGCGTCGACGCCGGAGACCAATCCCGTCGACAAGAAGAAGGAAGGCGCATCTGCCTCTGATTAGGCCATCGAGGCCCCCATCCCCAAGAAGCCAAGCTGGCCCCATGTCCGCAGCCAAGCTGGCCCCCGTCGCCAAGAAGCTTAAGACCAGATCCAGTGGCAATGCCGCCGCTGCCGACATCGTGGTACGCTTGCTCATCGGATCTTGCTTTGTTGGTTGTCTCGAATGTTTTATTGAGCTGCCAGTTTGTTGAGATTGTTTTTCTTTACGCTGAATGGAAACATCACTGTTGAATCCTGTGATGATGATCCTAATTGATGAGATATGGGTCGGTGTTAGTTAGGAGTAGATGGAGTATTAGATGGGAAGCAGATGAGGATGAGAAGGTAGTAGTAGTAAGAAATGAGACGGCTATATCACATAACATATCTTTCAGAGTCAGAGTCATATCTTTCAGTAGCCAGATAACACTTACATAGGTTGTCGTTGAGGCTCCAAGAAAGAAGAGTTCAGATCAAGCATTGCCTATGTTTTGACGTACCAACAGATCTCAAAATCTTATTAGGTTGACATAGCCCATAGCCATGATTGATTGCTACAGAACCTAAGTGACATATTTATAGTTCAATAATTCAGATCTCTATGAAATTCTCTGTACTACAAAGTTTACCTGTTAATTTCTTCCACCTTTTAATTTTTTAGTCATTGATTCTAACATCTTCTCTTTATCTTTATTACACATGTATACAACTGGCCGTGTCATTTTAGTTGCTGGTGTTTTAAGTTTTAACATGCTGCTCAACGCCTGTTTCTTATTCACAGAGCCTGCAAAGGGCCACCCATGTGCTTGACCACACTATTGTGATTACCGACCAAATAGTGCAAATAAGATATGGTAACTGACTGTCCATTGCTATAACCTTTAGCAACTGATTGTCCATCGTTGTACACCCCTTTCAGCAACTCCAAATCAGTCACTGTTTTAAGGTTGTGGTGTAGCGTGAATATATAAGTGGCAACGTATCAGGTGCAAACCAACCAACCTGTGCAAACTTGGAAACTACCGATCAGGACCACTGGATGCTGATCCAATGGATGGGGTGAGAGGTGGGATTTTTTTGCGCTTAAGCCCCCCATCCGCTGGCCATTTTTTTTTGCGCTTAAGCCCCCTCACCTCATCCATTGGATCAGCATCTAATGGTCCCGATTGGTAGTTTCCAAGTTTGCACAGATTGATTGGTTTGCACCTGATATGTTGCCAATATATAAAGCAAAAAGAATAGAACAACATCTGGATGACTGGATCTCACTGAGGCGAGGAGCAGACTGCAGTGCAGGAGACAGGGGGCAGCCGCCAGCCAGCACCAGCAGAACCGCAGAAGGCCCATGTCGGCCTGGCCCCTGGCGCTAGCGCCCTTGGCAGCTGGCTAGCTGGGCGTTGGCTCGCCGGCCAAGGGCTGAGCCGTGGAGGCTGGAGGCCTGAGGTGTGGGCGCGGCCTCCGGCTTCGTCCCCTGCAGTGCCCTGGGCCCTTGTTGTGGCCGGCTGGTTGCCAACCGCCAGCGGAGCGTGGAGCCACGGAGGACGTGGCACACCGTCGCGGTCGCACCGCGGTCATTAAGGGGCGTAGATTTTTTTTAGGTGTAGAGAAGAGATAAAGATTGGCTTTTAGATGCTGCTTTAGACGGACACGTAATGTGGTGTACAATCTAAATTCGAAACTCGTTGGACGGTGGTCCATCTCAAATCAAATCAATTTGAAAGTGGATTGTATCAGCATGATATATAAGCAAGTACCTGACATCCCTATTGCCAGCACAGTTGAGATAGAAAATGGACCTGAGGTCTAGTAGAAGACTTGAGCCAACGTAGAACGAAAAAAACGGAGGGACAAATAAGTACGCATGGGTGTTGCGTGTATCGTTTGCAAATCCGACGACCACCTACTCCGACGGGAATCTTGGGCGACACGGCGCTGGGCTTTCACACGAATGCCCATAGCTCGGCTCCCTTGCAGCAATCTAGTTGCCACCGTGCGTTATAAATTTGGATGAAAATTTTTTAAAAATTTGTCTTTTTAATATTAATATTGTAGCAAACGTGCCATTCGATATAATGAAACTCAATGCATATTAGAATCAGACTACATATCATCGCTAGACACGAGTTATTCTAACTCGTACAAGCACCAGTAAAAATATATAATTTTTACAATTCTACTGGCGGTAGCCTTAAGAAAACAGTCAGTAAAAAAGGTATCTACTTAAGTTGTGGGTCGGTACTATAAAATGGTGGACTAGGTACAAATTAGAATGTTAGCCGCAAGGGTAGGAAAGTAATTGTACTCTCATGAAAAACAGAGAATAGGGGCAGTTTAGTAAATTAATCCATGTAACGACCTATATGGCAAATCCATATCTGCTGACAAGAAAGTTTCGTTTATATTCACTAAAGCAACAAAGGTTCGCATCACAAAACACATTCAGATCCAAACTTAATTTCAAACACATAAGTGCATCACTACCACCGTATCCGTAGTCATGCTAATGATGCGACGCCCACGCACCCATGTCAGGCAGTCGTCCCAGTTCGCAGCGGCATCGGTGAAGGCCTCTTTCAACCCCTTGAGTTTTTTGCCTCAGTGTGCCTGCCCCTGCTGGACCTGGGCATGTTCACCCACCTTGAGTTTGTGGCGGCATCGAGGTAGTATTTCTTGACCTCGTTGTGCTTGAGTTTGTGCCTGCCCCTGCCGGTCCCGGGCTAGCCCTTGCCAATCAGGTCATTGTACGCACGGCTGATGGCGGGCTTGGAGTGGTTGGTGGGATTGTGTGCACCCTGACGAAGTGATCGCCATTGGCCACCACCGATGAAGCCGCCATTGGCCACCACCGCGCCCTTCACTTGCGCCGCACGCAACCGGCACATGCCTTCCAGGCTTCTTCCTCCTATAGACAGAGAGACCGTTCCATGCACACAATAAATCGCGCGCAGGGGTGGCGTGCCGTTGCTGGCTCGCGCAGCTGTTGGGAGGATACACCGTACACTGGCTCTGGTTACAGGGGACTGCGGGTTTGTGTTCGGGTTTCTGTTGTTTCGAACTCTAGTGAGATCGTCAGAGAAGAAGTGGTTTGGGGCGGCAGGCCTAACAGGTGAGAAGGAGATCGCTTGGAAGTGGGGTGGCGAGGTGGCGGGGGCTGCCAACTGTGGGCTTTGGAGGACGGCCGGTGGGCGGTGCCGCGGAGGATGATCGGTGGGCGGTGCCGGGACGGAAGTGGGGTGGCGAGGTGGCGGGGGCCGCCAGCTGTGAGCTTTGGCGGACGGCTAGTGGGCGGTGCCGAGACGGGAGTGGGGTGGCGAGGTGATAGGGCCCACCAGATGTGGGCTTCGAAGGACGGTCGGTGGGCGGGGTCGGGACGGAAGTGGGGTGGCAAGGTGGCGGGGCTCGCCAGCTGTGGGCTTCGGAGGACGGTCGGTGGGTGGTGCCGGGGCAGCAGGGAAGGAGGACGGCCATGGAGCCGATGGCAGGGATATGCCACCGAGGACGAGCAGAGAGTGGTGGGGCCAAATAGTGAAGAGACAAGAATGGGAGAGAGTGCATCGTTCAGAGGGAGAGAGAAGAATGGGAGTCGCTGATGAGTCGTGCACCCGTTGGTGTTATTGTGCAGTGGGTAAATTCAAACTTACAATTCATCTTTAATTTGTAGAACCACATTTATAATGAAAAGAACTACTAACTCAGACCCCAAAAAAAAAAGAGTGACATTCTGGTTTTATTCTAAGTCAAACTATTGTAAGTGTGACCAAGTTTATTGAGAGAAATATTAATATTTTCATTACATCAAGTGGGTATGTAATGAAAATATATTTCATGAGGGAATTCAACAATACTAATTTAGCATCTCGTAACAATAAACAATCTTCTTCCTAAACTTTGTCCAACATAAAAATGTTTGACTTAGGATTAAATTAGAATATGTCATTTCTTTTTGGAACGGAGGCAGTAATTCACTATAGTGCCATAAGGGCATGTAATAAGTGATTACGTTACGCTCAGTTTGGAGGTCCTTAAGGGTTTAGCTATGCTGCCATTGAAAGCTTCATAGTTTCTCCGCTCAGTTGCTGCCAATTGGATGAACCCTTTGTGTTCATACCAATGTGGCTTTTCTTAGTTCGTCATGTTAGTTTTCTTTATGCTTTGTTACAAACGTCTTGTAATTTCGTTGCTATCAAGTGAAAAATTCGGCTTTGGTCGTGGTAGAAAAAAAAATTAAATATAGTTCTTTTTCTATTCACTGATGCCAAATATATTATATATATAGCAGCAGGTTGATTGCGCGAGCTCAACAACTGTGGAACGAATGGGAGGTCCAGTGCCTGGTGCTAGTGAGCTTCTGGCTGCAGACCTTTCTCCTCTTCGCCGCGGGCTTCCGGAAGCACCGCAGATCACGCGTGCTCAGCGGGCTGCTGTGGCTTGCCTACCTCTCTGCAGACTCCGTTGCTATCTACGTCCTGGGCCGGCTCACGCTGCACACCGGCGATCCACGCCACCAGCTGGTGATCTTCTGGGCACCATTCCTGCTGCTACATCTTGGCGGGCAGGAGACCATCGCAGCTTTCTCTATGGAGGACTGCGCGCTGTGGAAGCGGCACCTGCTGAACCTGGCGACCCAGTCGACGCTAGCCATTTACGTCGTCGGCAAGCAGTGGTGAGGGGACATGCGTCTTATGGCCCCCATGCTGATCATGTTCGTCTGCGGGGTGGGCAAGTACGCTGAGAGAGCGTGGGATCTCAGGAGGGCAGGCTCACGGGCACCTGGAAGCAGGTCCATCGCTGGTCATGTTACCGGCGCCAGGCGGGAATTCGAACGTGAAGTGTTTTGGTATTACGACAGGCTGAACCAAATCCTTTCGGAGAAACTCCAGCTCAACTTCGAGCTAGTCATGGAGGTGGCCACCCGGGGCTTCCAGCTGAGCTTAGATTTTCTCATGGACGTGATACCTGCGAAATCCCTGCGCCCTGAAACCGACTGGAACGAAGGCCTCGTGGCGAGGATCAAATCTTCTGAGAATCGAGCCGATCTGGTGTACAGGTTGGCCGAAGTTCAGCTCTCCTTGATCTATGACTACTTGTACACCAAGTTTGGAGGCTTCTTGGGCGTGCTGCATCGGCCAACCACCTTTGTTCTAACCTCTATAGCTCTGTCCTCATTCCGCATTGTTCTGGCTGACCAGAACCAGAAGGGGACACCAACACCAACCAGCAGCTACTATGGAACTGATGTTATCATATCATACATATTGCTTGCCGGTGCCTTTGCGCTGGAGATCTCCTCCATCCTCATGTGGTTCACGTCATCATACTGGCCATACATGACCATTGCATCCCTTCAGAACCGGCGTCGCCACAAAGCTTTCCAGACAATGTTGCTCATCATTGTTAGGCGCCTAGGTCGAGAGAGCAGAGTTGAATGGTCGGGGAAGTTGCCTCAATACAACATGATCGGTGCATGCATCCGGGAGAAGCAAGCTGGCACATGGGACAAAATGATGCTATATATCGGCATCGAGAGAGACTACACCACACAAGTTGTTGTCTCCCCCGAGGTAAGGATGGTGCTTCTTGACCGACTGCTTGAGATAGCCACTTCCACTTCAAGTGCCGCAGAGGACCTGGACTTTGGTACTTTCCGTGGCCAGTGGGCTCGCAATGGAGTTCATTGGCCTTGCTTCTCTGGATGTGAAGAAGCTGCTCATCCGCCCGGCCGTTCCTCTGAAGACCACCCCCCTTCCTCTGGAAGTGCAGCTCAAGAAGCACTTGGGAATAGTGCAATCCAAGATTTGGATTTTGTATCAAGTGCCATTCTTTGGCACTTTGTTACGGACATATGCCTAGAGGCTAGTCCGGCTGATGACCACCATGCAAACAGTTGCAGCTCCAGGATGAGAAGGGCAAGCGAAGAGTTTTCGAATTACATCATGTACCTCGTTATCAAGTGCAGTATAATGCTTGGAAGCGATGGGCATTACGGGGTCAAAGTTGCACGACGCGATGTGACGCTGTTTCTTGGCATGGTCGTTGACCGGACGGAGTTCATCCAGAAAGTGCGTGATGGCGACCTTGCTCTCAACCTTAAGGAATTCCCTGCACTTCATCGAGCACACCGTGTCTCCTCAGAGCTGCTTAAGATAAAAGCACACAACAGGTGGAAACTCATCGCATTGGTATGGGTGGAGATGCTTTGCTACGTTGCACATAATTGTGGGGCTGGATTCCATGCCAAGCACCTCAGCACCGGTGGAGAGTTCGTCACCCATGTCAAGATGCTGTTGTTTATCCTAGGCTTTCCTTTGCGTGGGCATACTAAGGAACAGCTATTCCCTTCAGAAGAGATAGAAGAGAGAAAGTTCTTCAAGAGTTCTCATCCTTGGAGACGGGGATGATGTCAATTACACAGAAGAGGGAGGGCTCCGTTGTAACACCCAGGCCGTACCAATGTGCATCTAGAATTCAATGAAATCTAAAAATTAGGCTTAGTCTAGGTGCAACTCAGGTGTTTTGAAGTCAGAATACACTCTATTTTCCAAACTGTATGATTTTGAATTAGTTCCTGGGATTGGTTTCACACTTTTGGCCACAAACTTATTCAGGTATTTCTGACCGGACATCACAACACTCGATTGTTTCAGCGGTCCACGCAATAATCGGGTGTCTTTCCATTGGTACTAGCACCTGAACTTTTTCGTCATTGGATTGGAACTGATGGCTAAGAGTTCCTTCTCTTTCTAGTTGACTTAAATTCCAGTGCCAAGTCGAATTTCAACAAAAAAATTTCGTTGTCCTACATACACTAGGTGAAAAATACATAGAAAACCCCATCACCACCGGTTTAAAAAACCCTATCACCGCTGGTTTTGAACCGGCAGTGATAAACATTATCACCACTGGCTTATTACCAGTTTGAATATTTTTAAAAACATATAGAAAATATAAAACTGGAGCAAAAGAATTACCCCAAGCAAAAACAACCTCGCCCAGCCATCCTCTCCTTCAATGGCCATGATTTTAATTTTTTGCACTTCTTTGTGAAATGTCCGAAACTTTACAAAATGTGCAACCTCTAGGATTCAAGCCCATAATAACCTCTTGTTTGGTGCAAACATCCTCTAAACCACTGAACCACACAATCAGTTTGACTAGTGGATGGATGTGCACTACAACACAGATGGGCTTCTTTGATGATCTGATTATATCACATAATGTCGAATATTTAGCACCACGTTTAGGTTAATTATGACAACTTTGTGACGTAATCTGTTTGTTATGGACTGTGCGTCTCTAATCACAATATCACAATCATGATAAAAGCACATTGAAACTGTCATCATTTTTTTTTGGCAATACATTCTTCATCGTTGATTTTCATGACGATTTAAAATTATCATTCTTGAAGGAAAAAATGTCGCATGGCATGGAGTGTGCTTTTGCCATGTGTATTGGTGGCATTAACGAGGCAATATTTTACGACCTTTTTTTGTTTCGTCGTGAATCTTCTAGCCCATATTATGTACATGGGCCCGCAATATAGTTTGGGCTTAGCCCATTCTATGGACCACTTTAGTCTGGCCCAATTGAGGCCTACTTTCGACCAACTAAGGTACACTTCTGATTTGACCCCAATAATTTTGTACATCCACTTGTTGGCCCATGAACATGTGACGCCCGACCCAATTTTCATTTGGCCTAGCCCATTGATTGCCCGGTACCTGTTTGGATACTGGCTCATTTTTATGATTTTTTGCAATAACATAATTACAACATATTGGGCCCAGATGTAAATCATTAAAAGCAAATAATTATGGCTCATTAGGCCAAGTAACTACAGCTAATTTGATCCAATAATTACAGCTCTTTTGGTCATTCCAAAGATGAAAACAGCATTGTCACAAGCATCATTCCATTCCAAACTCAGACCACTATAGTTTGAGCAATATCAAGCTAAAACAATGCAAGCATATTTTTTTTTCTTCAACAGCCACAAGCTAGAGGAAAAAGGTCTCCAAATCCAAAGTTCACCAATTGGTCCAGCAGGTCACCAAAAGAGCTCCAACAGCCACAAGTCAAAAAGTGATTGATACAAAAGCCTCATTTCACCCAAGTTGGAGCTACATCACCATGACAAAGGAAGGCTCAAAGATTCAAGGGAGTAAGATTCAACTGACCATGGTTGAGTCTTATCAGTTGACGAATGAGGGTGTTTTGTTTTTTGTATTGTCTTCGTCAAACTCTCAATATCATGTGACTGATTTGCCATTGTTTCCTCAGATTCAATTGTGCCTGCAACTTTAGGGTATGCAGCTCTTGTCGAAGTTTGGCAGCATCTTGCTTCTCGAACTCAAGTTCAGCCTGAAGCCCTTGCACCTGTGAAGAAACGACATGTGGCTTATTTTATACATGAATATAAATCTTGCACTAATAAATTTCACTTGAACTCAAGTAGTTAAATCTTGCACTAAATCTGCAGGCAACATATCTTAAAATCAGTTAAATTTACACGCAACAGACCTTATAGCACAATCTGGCAGCTGTTTAGCTTACTTTTTCTTCCATGATTCTTTCATTCCACTCCATTGTCTTGTCCTTTCAGCCTGTTCGGGAGGCCGTATCGTATCGTGGATTATTTACTGCTGGCTGGTTTGGTGTGAGAGAAAAACACTGTTCCCGGCTGGAAATTTACGATCGTTTACGAGCAAGCGAACAGGCTGTCTCTGTGTTATTTGAGCCAGCAAGCTGAAAAAAAAATGAAATTATTTACCAGAAAAAAGATAGAACAAGTACTGTGCATAGACCGAAATCCCCAAAACGACTTGTACCCGACCTACCTCGGTATATAAGGGGAGGGTGGGCTCCCAGAGAGGGCTGGGCAAACCAAGAAAGCCCATTTAACAGATTAGGCATTCAAAGGCCAATTCCCTTACTCGCTGGAGAGAAACCTCACCACCGACGAGCTATAGGATTGCACTGAGCAATCCCCTGCCAAACTCTCGTTGTAAACCCCCCGATTTGGGTGCTCCTGAACACGAAGAACACCTCACTACTGGACGTAGAGTCCCGATAGCCCTAACCAGGATAAACCGTCATGTCACTCTTGTGTTTTTGAGTACCCGAGCCATTGGAGACACACACTTCCGACATCCGACGAACAACCACGATGCTTGCCGCGGTTACGAACCCACGACAGTCGTATTTGTTGTGTGGACTCGTGGCTTGAACTAGATGTATATTTTGATCCATTATGTATGTTGTGGATTTGATGTTATCACAATATTGTTTCTATTAATGATATTCTACATTCAAATTGTATTATGAAAATGCAGTATCACCGCTGGTCTAGCCAAATCATTGGTGATATCGTAAAACTATTAGTGATGATCAAGCCAGCACTGCCGGGAAAAACACCGCACCAACGATGATGGTCAAGACTCACCGCTGGATAAAATAACGCACTGGTGTTGATGGTAAAGACATCACCGCCGGATCAGACTCTAGTCCGGAGGTGATGTCTTGTATGCCAAACTGATTGTGATGTCTCCATGATTGCCGTCAAATTGTACGCCGGACCGGCGGTGGTGTTCACTCTATCACCACTGGATCGAACAACGACCAACGGTGATGGTAACATCGCCAGATCGTATGCTAGACCAAAGTTGATGGCCGCATCATCACCGTCGAATCATATACCAGGTGGTGTTCACTGCATCACTGCCGGATTGAACACCAAGCCGGCGGTGCTAAAGTTTATCACTGCTGGTTTTGAAACGGCGGTGATAGCCTCAGTTATCACCAACAACTTTCACAAATGACAGTGATAACCAGCGATGCTCATGTTTATCAATGCCGGTTTCGAACCGACACTGATAGACTCAGTTATCACCAACTACTTTCACAAACAACAGTGATAGCGGTGATGAGCTATCTGTAGTAGTGATTGGGAGAGGAGTAGAATGAGGTTTTAGGACTTGCCTTTTATCATTTTTCTATCCAACGCTATCTACTGTCGACAAGCATAGCATAATAAGGAAAAAGAAAATGAAGAAAACCCAAAGGAACTAAATATAGCAAAAAAAATTGATCCTAGGAAGGTTTGTGCTAACTTGCTATAATTTTAAAATTTCATTTTAATCCTCATTATTTGAAATTCTTTTTTATGAATTTTTTAGGAAAAGAAAATGAAGAAAAACCAAAGGAACTAAAAATAGCAAAAAAAAAAAAAAGAGAAATGATCCTAGGAAGGTTTGTGCAAACTTGCTATAATTTTAAAATATCACTTTAATCCTCATGTTTTGAAAAAAAAAATTATGAATTTTTTAAACAACCTCTGCCGTTGATATGGTCTATACTAAAATTGTAGATCTGTGATATATTACTTTGGTGCTAACAACTTTATTCTGTCTGAGATCTTTTAGGATCAAATATTTTTTTTAAGTTCTCTGGTTACGAAATTCAAAGTTTTTGTATTTTTCAAATGATCTCAGTTGGAGACACGCTTTATTCTAAATTTGTAGTGCTTGACAAGATCTAAAACTTTCTAGTTAAAATTGTTTTCATTTGAGGACATTTAGGACACTAAATATTAATAAAAGGAGACATGTATAAAAAACACAAAGGCATGTGGAGGCCCAAATGCCACAAATGTCATATGTGCCACATCATCCAAACCACCATTAGAACCAATGTAAACTACTTTTAGGGGATACTTTGTCCAGCTTTTAAATTGAGGAGGGGCATATTGTCTGGTATTCAAGGTCGAGAATGTTTTCTAAATTCAACGGCAAGTTTAAGAGGGTAAATTGAGCTTAGCTCAGTAAAAAAATTGAATCAGCCTGGTCGACCCAGTGTAACATATTTGTCTGCAGTTTGTAGCTTTCTGTTGTAACGTCAGCCAAGTGAAGCTACATTTGAGCTTCACCTTTGACCTCCGTTCTCAGTGCCAAAATGATTGCCGAGAAAGTATGTATTGTATTGGCTAGATGTGCCGAAACGGCAGGTTCAGACGTTCAGTTGATCCTCATCATCTTGCGTTCAGATATGCCCCCCGCTGCTGCTGCACTGGGCGTCGAGCCGACTGCTGTATGCCTGTATGCAGGGGACGGAGCAGGGGCGGGGCGGAGAACCCCTCCGTGCAGAAGCAACCAGCAAAGGAAGAGAAAGAAAGCTCGGGTTCATTCATGAAACAGCATGTACACGTTGGCAAGCATGGTTCCAAATGGCGAATGCAGTATGGCCTGGCTGCTGGCTATCGCAGATTGGCAGCTACGGTGCTAGCGCGGCTCTGATCCCTGAGGTGCAGGGGAGGAAAGGAAGATCGCAGGTCTGGGTGGGCCAGTCCACCGGTCATCCACAGCATAGCCCCGTTCCCTAGCGGGAATCTCACATCAAGCACAGCAAACTGTGGAACCATCTGCTGCTCCCGTCGCAAGTGGTAACGTTCTGTGTTAAAAGGAGCAGCAGCATTGCCCCAACCATAGAACAGAACAAGGCACGACGCATATCATGTATTCCTCATTTTAACTACACAAAACGTGAAAATCTTAAACATCGATTTCTACAGCAACGATCTATCATGAACATAAAAGCACCCCACTCCTGGCACAACAGGTGTGTGAAACAATATATCCTACTAGATGGAAATTGGTCGAACTTCACAAAGTATTTGGCAAAAGGGATTTATGTCAACTGATTCAAAGATCCGAGTAACCAAGTCAGATCAAAACCTTGCTCTTATTCATCACCAAGTCGTCGTTACAGCTGAAAATGGAAAGTCACCGTTGCAGCTCAGATGACTCTGTTCAGTCGCATTCTTTGGTGCAGAAGCAGAAGGACCTGAAGATGAGGAAGCCACACTTCCCCCTGGTAGCGCCCTCGCCGATGCAGTGCTTGTTGCATGTTTTGCTGCTACACAGGAGCACCATCCGGTATGTATCACTTGACCACTCGTCACACGCTTCCTTATTCCCACAGCCTGCAATAGAGAGCAAAGATATTACTAAATAAAAAACATACCATTTTACAATCAAGAGTTACAACTTATTAATTTCATTTGCCACCAAGAACAAATCGGATAGCTTGGAAGCAATTAATCTTGTTCTTCTCATGGAAACAATTAATCTTATTCTATGACATTGGAGTGTAAAGCCTTCGATGTGCTATAAAATTTAGCTCTCTTTGTCTAAGGATGGACTTACTTGGATCCAAGAGGAGTGCCACGACCAGCAGGCTGAGGCAAAATGCTGATGCCACCTTCACAGCTGCCATATCTAGAAGAAACCTTCCAGCTAGGTATCTGCCTAATATGTGAAAATTCTTCTTATAGCCTGAAGACCTTGCTTTCCATTTGTCTCCAAGGTAAATAGAGAACAAAGAAAAGGCAGGGGTTGATGATGCAGATATCCTCAACATGGAATGCATTCTGAAACCCGACAAATTTCAGTTAGCACCATTTAGTAGGAAGCCTCGTGATGCTTGCTCCACGCATGGAGCTTCAGACGAAGCTGATGTGTCACCTACGGTCAAGATGCTGCCATGTCCATGTATCATTCCATTCAGTTTCACTCGGCACGCATGAAAAAGTATAGAAAAAGGTATAGGAACAAGGCAAGGGAAACAGAAGACTTACGTGAGGGAGGAAGGCAAGGCTCCTGTCATTCACTTGCAGAGAGCTCAGAGCTGCATGGTGATAGTTCAATGATTGAGGATCACTGGATGTACATGAATTGCTGTTGCATTATTATCAAGAGCACAAGGTAATTTGGTTGGTAAAATCTTCAGCTCGAAGCATCACTCCTGTATGGGTATGGCAATGAGTATAGCATATGCATCTGGACACAAAACTGACCTCCTTTCAGTTGAGTAAATCAGCTTGACAAGTTGAATTTATCTAGCACAAAGAAGGCTCCATAGCTGTGGAAGAAACCAAATTGGCAGAAATTCATAAAAAGAGATTCTGATTTTTTTCTGATCTTTGGCCTTACCCCCAAAGCAGCACAATCTCTCCAGTAGGCAACTATTCCACACCAAAGGAACACCATAACATGTCGCAGGAGCCCATGGAAGCTCAACAGCCATCTCTGCCTCCACGGACCACCACCAGAACAAGGGATCCTAGGCCAACCCAAGGTCGACAACTGCAGAGCAGCAGCATCCAGGAAAACCGTTTCCACTCTTTCAACAATATTAAGAATATATCTTCATAATAAAATATCATCATGTTATTTTTTACATGTACAAAGGTCCACGGGTGTTTAGTTAGCCATTCTTCATCAATTGTTTTACAGTTCCTGTTTGATACATGAGAAAATTATTATGGTTTTAGAATTGTGTCTGCTATTTGGAAATTCAGTGATCAAAACTAAATATAACTAAATATTTTTTGACTGCTCACCTCTGAGGCTTCAATAGTCATTGAGATGTGGGCAAAGCAAATAATTTGCATTATACCATGATTCAACAACTGTCATATTATCTTGTGCTTTATTTGATGAGACTGGCACTGTTTTTCCCCATCCCACTAAAAACAAAAAGAATTGGCATATTAGTATTTTGGTTAATAAGTGGCTGACATGGAGATTCTTTGCAAACGAAACAGTAGTATGGCAGTGGCAATGTCATCTCCTGTTTCTACCTAATTAAATTGGAATGCCCATTACACTGAATCAGTTAAGCAATTTGACAAGTGCATATAAGAAGAATAGAAATCACTACGTTGGAGCAACAGATCAGTCCTGTGGTCAGAAAAGAAATAATAATAGTAGAGTTCAGAACTAATAAATATTAGAGCTAAGAACCAATAAGAAGTTTCAGACATAGAAATAGTTGAAGCGGGTTTTACAAGCTGAGGGCATTACTAAACTGCTAATCACTTGTGAATCAAAGCAAATCTCTGCCTACAAATTTTACTGCATTATTGGATTCCAGGGGAATGAGTTACAGTGCAAGAGAATTATGCATAGTATGAGAAAAGTGAAAAAAATTAAGAGTCATACAGAATATAATTTTCTAAACAAAATTAAATGGGCATATACATACATCTTGTTCAACATAAACAGGGCATACTTTTTAAAATGTGGTTGTTACCTTTTCCAGAAGTAGAGTCAATCATTTATTGACTAGAAAAAGTCATACAGCAGCATCCATGTTTCAGTAAATCTTCTGAGATTCAGAATGACAAGGCAGGAGTAGATTAAATATATTCACCTGATTGAAAACATATATAGGCTTATTGTTATGCACAAAACAAAAGGCACTAATAAGGGAGAAATGCATAAATAACCAGAATAAGCATCAAATAAGCAGTAAGCTACATGCTGAGCTTGTAAATAGTTGTATGAGACTACAGAGGTGATTTTACAGGCACTTACCACCAGTTTGATGTATAGGGTGGAAGGTACCTGCAGAGATTCAGAATTGTAAATTGATAGGGAGATAATCCAGAGAATAGAGTTATGCACAAATTGAAGCACCCTGCGCAGCAGATGGAAACAAGGGGGTTACCCAGAAGAAAACATTAATTGTGGTCAAATAAACGAAACGAGAATTAGAGTTTATGGGGTTAGGGAGGGAGAAGCAAGGGAAATTGGAAGTTTTACCTCTTTGTTACCTTCGGTTTGTCAGGCTATGACTCTTGGGATGATATTTATCAACTGGCGGCACTGACTCCTTAGCTCCTCACTATTGCTTTCACTGACATGTAGTGTTCGCAGCGAACTTGGAAGGTCATCCACCTCGGGAAGCGACCGGATAGCTGGGCAGTCGCGGATCTCTAATTTTTGCAGTGAATCTGGGAGGCAATCCTTGGGCAGTGACTGGATTTATGGACAACTGCTGATATACAACTCTTCCAGCGAACTTGGGAGGGCATCCTTGGGTAGCATCTGGATTGCTTCGCACCCCCAGATCTCTAACCTCTTGAGGTTGCCAAGTCCATGTAGCCGTTTAGGAGAGACTGCAGGTTCTGGCAACCACAAAATGCGATATCCTCGAGGGAGTTGACGAACAGAAGGTCCTCTTGCTCCTCTGTGAAGCTCTTCACCTTATTATCCCCATAAATTTCCAATTTGGTGAGCGAGGAAAAGAGCAGCCTATGACGAAGGGGTGCAGCAGTGAATCCAGCCATATCATCTATTGTGAGTTCCTGTAGTTTGGAGAAACGGGATAAGAGCTCTTGTTCATGCACCTCTGAGGGCTCGGAATCAACAAAGAAATTGGGAGTTTCTCTTATAGTTAATTTGGTGAGATGGCCTTGGGCAAGGAAAGACAACAATCCCTCACCTCTTAAATCCCCACAACGTATAGATAAACTTGTGAGAGAGGTGAGGTTTGATATACCCACCAGCGTATCCATGCCCACCGCTCCCCTAATATCGAGCCTTTGTTTAGTTCTCCAAAATTACATTAATTTTCTGTCATATTAAATTTGTGGTATATGTATAGAGTACTAAATGTAGACGAAATTAAAAATTAATTGCACAGTTTACTTTAACTTTATGAGAAGAATCTTTTGAACATAATTAGTCAATGTTTAGATAATAATTCACAAATACAAATAAAATGCTATAGTAAAGAATCGTGCCCCATGCAAAACTTACAAACTTTGCCAAAACTAAACGCACTCCGAGGTGTTCCAGGGAGTTGGGGAAGGGGAAAGATGAGAAGGACGAATAGTCAGACAACAGCTTGGGGGAAACATTGATATCCAACTGTCGGAGGGAGGCCAGACCTTGAGCCCTCCAGTTCGTCCGTATTCATTACTGTCGTCATGTGGATTGGAGCAGAGGAGGTTCAGCTCTGGGCAGTTGTGCATGAACAGCTTCTGCAGTTGGGGCTTGTTTAGGTTGCAAAATTTTTGACGAAATGGTACTGTAGCACTTTCGTTGTTATTTGACAATTAGTATCTAATCATAGTCTAATTAGGCTTAAAAGATTCGTCTCGTAAATTTCGTCTAAACTGTGTAATTAGTTTTATTTTTTATTTATATTTAATGCTTCATATATGCATTCAAAGATTCGATGTGACGAGGAATCTTGAAAAATTTTGTAAAACGAAGTGGGGTCTTGGGGTGGCAAAAGCAACAGGGCGCGTTCTGTTTCTTCTGATGCAACTATTCTGTCGTCCTCTGCTCTTGCGTCCTGCTGCTGCTCCACGTTGTTAGCTGAGAATTTTTTTTTATTTTTAACACTTTTTTAAACTAATTTTTAAATCTAACACTGTTTTAATTTTTTTTCAAAACTAACACTTTTGGCCGCGCCTACTTCTCTGGCGAGGTGAAATGGCTATGTCGCGCCATGCATGGTGGTGCGGCGAGAGGGATGACGTGACGACGACCGAGGCGCTGACCGGTGACATGGTGGGGTCTGCCGCGCCACCGATCTTGGCGCGGCTGCTAAAGGCCCGCGGCCCAGTCTCGCCTGCCTGCCGCGCCTGGCCGCCTGTCCACCGCGCCTTCGCGCCCGCCGCGCCTGCCCGCCTGTCTATCCGCCGCTCCCAAGTGCTGTCAGCGCCTGGCCCTCTGTTGGCGCCTCCCTCCCTCCTCGGCCTCGTTCAAGGTAATGACGCACTTTTTATTTTCGTTTGAATGGTGGATTGAAATATTATGAATGAGAGTTAAGGTTGGGAGAAAAATTATGTTTGGGAACTATGGGCTATGGTTTGGAGAAAGATATTAGTTTGATTTTATCGATGTTAAGGTTAATTATTTAGTTAGAAGTATGTTTATCATGTATATTTTTGTTGCTATAAGTGTTGATTATATTATTTGAGTTGTAATGCAAATGATTATATTTTACATTAATTTGCGTTGTTTTGATTGATGTTTAAATCAGTGTTCGCCTACACGGCCGTGTAGACCGATTACTCGGCGTGTAATCGCTACTCGGTAGCCGAACGTGCAGTTTAGGCCATAAACGGTAGGTTACACGGGATCGCCGTGTAAACGGTAAAAAACGGCCGTGTAATCGGTCTACACGGCCGTGTAGGCGAACACTGGGTAATATTTTGAAAATAAATTATTTTAAATTATTTTCAAAATATTACCAATGTTTATGATGTGTAATAAGTACCATTAGATTAGTTGTGGAATATACTTTCATAATAAAATTATTTGAATATACAAATATTAATATTATTTTCTACATACTTAGTCAAACTTAAAAGAGTTTGACTCCTCGGTAAGCGAGATGTGTACTTATTTTGGGATGGAGGGAGTATTTTATTAGGCACTTAGGTATTAGTTCTAGCACTTAGGTTCTTAATTCTATATTATTGGACTAACCATTGTTATGTAATTCTATATTATCTATGTTATAGGAATATATACACAGGTTATTATAGTTATTTTTACAAATAAAGTAAAAACGAGTAATCCGTGTAAAACCGTGTACACGCCGTGTACACGGTCTAAACGCTACACGAGACCTTGCCGACTGTCTACCGTTTACCGTTTAGGAAAATAGAGTGTTTAATTTGAACTGTTTTATTAGATGGAAGACATGTTTCGGGAGCAGTTATAGCGAAAACGGGGTCGTCCTAGAGAATTGTACCCCGACGAGTCTTGCAAAGATGCCCCCGTCCATCCTGACCTCCCTGTCTCTAACTATGACTATGGTCGTCCGGCCGACATGTTTCAATCGAGACATCCAGACACAGTGGCTCGTTGCTTCTACACATGCAGTCGTTTTAATGTAAGTAATTGTTTCCGTATGTTTTTTTTTCTTCATTTGTATTACTAGGTTACTAATATTTTGTTGGATTTTTGTTGTGTAGGCTCATGAGAGGTGCTTTTTCTTTCAGTGATCGACGGTGCAGACAAGTTTGACCCAGGTACCTCCTTTTAGAAGATTGGTGGAGATGGCAACATCCACGAGAGCACTTCGAGCGGTGGGTTCCACCTCCCCCTAACCCCCCTCCAATGACGGCTAAGGAGAAGCACTTAGCCACAATTAGACAACTCGAGAAACCTTCTCTGTGCGATTGCGGAGATCGAGCTGTGATAAACCATGAGAATACGTTGGAGTTTGTGTGTCCAAACAAGCATGAAGTAAGTGAAAAGTGTATGTGTTGAAATGTTTAGCTATATGTGTTCATGTACTAATGTCACCTTATTTAGGTGTTTTCAATGGCGAAGTGTCGTTTCAAGGAGTGGTTGTATGGTCCTAAGAACCAATGGCCAGAAGAACCGCCAAAGGTTAAGGAAAAGAAGAAAGAAAGGGTAATTTACAAAGCACCTCCTGTCATGTGCGAATGTGGTATTAAATCCAACTATGGCCTAGTTCCTTTGGAGCTTGGAATAGGTCATTATTGCGGTCATATGGTTGACTATGATGAGGTTGGTTATTTTTGTGGTAAACATGAAATCGTATTTTGTTTCTTTTGCTAAGACATATATGATATAATTTTTCGTTTGAACAAAACACTAGGAAATACATGTGTGAATGTTATGATGGTCAAGCTAAGTTATTGGATGAACTGAAGGGGAGGCAAGTAATTGCACGGAAGAGGGGATATGGACCTTACTACGTCAACCTATTCGTTAAATATCACAAAGACAAGATGCGTGAGTTTGCTAGATAGCGGGGTATTCGTAACCCGATCGATGTTGGGCTTGATAAATGGGGATTGGAGAGACGGAGGGTGTTAGAGGAGGAGAGAGTAAGCAAGGAGGCAAGAGAGGAGACAAGAGTACAGATGCAGGTCTTAAACGAGCATGTTGTTGCATTATATGCCGGTGAGTGCTTGAAAGCCTTTGTTGCCTGATTTTAAATGTAATATAATCGCGTTACTAACTGATTGCATTTTATACATGACGGGATTAGATGCAGCGAGGACCATGACGGAGAGGTGGCTCATGCAAGGTATGAGGAAAAGAAGTTAGATGAGCACAGAACGCGAGCTGGTCGCACCGTTAAATCATCGATTGTATTGTCTGGTGAGGGGGACGAGGATGAGGACGACACTGCCAAACTGAGCGAGCTCATCGCTCTAGCAGAGGCAGGCTTGCAGGCGGAGGAGGCTGAGGACGACACTGGCAGACTCAGCGAGCTCATCGCTCTAGCAGAGGTGGGCTTGCAGGAGGAGGAGGCTGGGGACGGCACTGGCCGACTGAGCGAACTCATCGCTCTAGCAGAGGCGGGCTTGCAGGCGAAGGAGGATGATGACGCGTTCTTCACTCAGACCGCAAAGGCCATAGATAAAGCGGAGGCCGCTTACTACAGGCGACACGTAAGTCAGAGCAATGCAGGTAAGCCTAGCCACATGAACGAGGAGGAAGAGAACGCGTTCTTGTCTCAGGCCGTAGATGAAGCGGAGGCCACTTACTACAGGTGAAAGGCAGATCAGGGCAATGCAGGTGACCCTAGCCACAGCAACAGGGTTGTGGTAGAGGATTGGTACTCGGACGACGAGTTGCTTACTCAGTATATTTCTGACTGAGGGTTTTTTATTGCACCGTCTGTTAGTTCCATGCTTTATTAATGATCAATGTAGCTATGTACTAGAACTTTCATTGTGTTGTCTTGTTTTACTTTTGAACTATTGATGTATTGTATCCATGTATCAGGTACTCAGATTACCCATGGTTGATCTTAAGTGATCCCATCCGTTTGTCACCCTCCAACCCATCCGTTTGTCTCTCTCTGATGCATCTAAGTTTTTTTTAATAATAGCGAATGCGTTGAGAATTTCTAAAACGAACAAAATCGAGTGAAATTATTTCGAATACGGTTGGCTGGCATATATATCTTGCATGATTCCCACGTATTTTAAAATAGTAGACAGAAGCTGCTGTCGGTGTTGTAAACAACTACAAGTGCTGCCGCGACGCATTGAAACAAATATGAAGCAAATAAATGGAGTCCGTGCGCAAGTTGACAAGTTGCCACATAACATTTTCAATGGTTCATGAGTCTACAAGTTTTGGACGACAATATTTGTTTGACATAAGTTTGATATAACCAACTAAGTCCCAGGAGTGTAAGGATCCCTCGGACGCCTCTGTCTCTTCGGATTTCTCGGTGTCAGTCAAGAAGTGTGCTCGGTGCGGATCGTCGTACTCCACCTCAAGAAGGGGGTACAACTGGTGCTGCGTGGGAGAGGCCATCCTGTTAGAAAATTAATAAACA